GTTATATTTAAATCTATTGCAAAATTAGATTGGATATAGTTTAATTTAAAAAAAAGTGCCAATGCTGCTTTGGTTTAGTTTGCACTTGGACAGAATTGTGAAGATGAGTCAGTCGTCATGAAAATGTTTTGAGCTCCAGGCAAACTTGTGAGTCAAAGGAGCTGCGGCGCACACGCACATCTGTGGGTCGAAAATGAAGCTGTTTACAGAGCTGATTCGGAGGTAAGCGTGAAGTAACATTTCTTATGGTAATTAAAAACATTTCTTACAGTAAAGAAAAAAAACACGAGGACAACAGAACATAAAAAGAAGCAAACTGGTTGGAGAAGGGAGATCAATGAGCTCAGGAACAGAAATGGGTTCAGAAGGAAAAAAGGTGCGAGTAAACAAGATTTCAAAGGACAGATTGGATATGACACAGAATGGAAAAGAGCGCTGATGTGACAACAGACAGACAGAACGGGAACTAAAAGCCGTCAGGCTAATGGATCCTGAAACCGATGCTCTGTTATTATCAACAATATTAGCTGTTTCAGACAGCCTGTATTTCAATATAAGACATTACAAGCTCCTTTCAATGCTATCTGCAGCTGAGATCAACACTCGCTTGGAAACGAAGCGAGATGCGAGCTGGCAGCAATCTGCATCCGAGCAGAACTAATTAAACTTTTAAACATACGAGAAGAAGAAAAGTGTCAAACATGAACTATCAAACCAAAACATCATTTCTGTTAATTATTTACATCTTTCAGGTCATAGCGCAAAAAGCTGAAGCGGAGGTAGAACAGATCTAGTTGTCTCTGCCCTTTTCTGAGGTTTTCTGAGGTTAGATGGGGAAAAACTATCCCATCAGCATAATCTGAGTTTCTCGTACTTATTTCACTTTGTTGCTGAGAAAACACTTCAACAGTGGGCTGAATTTGGTGCATCGCTAAATATCGACAATAAGATCAACAGTGGCAATGTTGTATGGCAGCAATAATACAGTAGCTAAATGTTGTTGTGATGAAGGGCATTAAGACTTCAAGATTTCTGTGTGTCACTGGCAAAAAAAATAAAGACAAATAAATAAATAAATGGGGAAAGGAAAAACCAACATGAACCATTAGTGAGATTGTGATTAATTGCATCCCTAGCTGAAATGAACTGATTCCTGCACAACTGTTTATTTTACTTTGGTTTAATATTTACTCCAATTAGTCTTTCAGCCCACCTGAGAATAAAGTCTTACATTTCATTTCATTTTTATTTTTTTTAATTCCTGTCTCCACTTTCTGTTGAGTCCTATGCAGATGCTGCCAAAATGAAGATAGATATGGAGGGAGGGGTGTGGCTGAGAGACTACTGAAACACCTGGAGACAGACTATGATAAGGAAAAGTGAAGGAAATAGAGATAGAAGTTTGGCTTTCACTGTGTGCCTCTCAGTGTCCACAGTCCCAGTGCCCATAAGACACTTTGGTATATCTGTTTAAGGAAGAGATCGAAATCAAACAGTGTGATAAGTCTGTGTGTGTTATTTTTGTAATGCAAATTGTCTTTTCATTTTAACCATAAAGTAAACGTCAGGGATGGTGTAAAAAGGGTCCTTTTTTCCCTCTTGAGCTTTGAGCATCAGACATCATGCAATGCTAGAGTGGCAGACTGTGTTCGAATTTGAGACCACCAACAGTGACGGGGGGAGTAAAACAGGGCGCGCTGGAAAGTGTGCGCGCACCTGCATGCCTCTGCACATGAGGCTGAAGGGCAATTTGATTTAAAACTCACAGAGTCTTCCTTTTAATGTGGCCAGAGTCTTTGCTACAGTCATCTTTAAAAACTGCATGTCTGCCTGCATGTACATGGGTGCACTTAAGTGTGACAGGCAAGACCAACAATGCAGCACAACTCTCCCCCTGGTTTTTTTGCCGATGGCAAAAACCTGTCCCAATTTCACACAATTAAAAAAAAAAATGCTGAGTTACATTCAAACATTCACAGCCACAGACAAATTACCTTTCAGCAAACAAACGTGTGTTTGTGCACTGCCAGATAACCTTCTGGCAGCGTTTGCATGTTTCTGTGGGCACGTCTTATTGGTGCATCCCGAAAGGTCGTGTCTGCCAGCAGCCAAACTTCCTCTGACATTTGCAGTTATGATAAAGGTATGATGCATTTCCCTGCAGTGCGCTGACTAACTGCTTACTCAGGATGCTTTAAGAATCAGCAGCTAATGTGCTAGATACCAGTTGGACCAGTTATAGAACATACTGAAGTGTCCACCTTGACAGAAAAGGAGCAGACAAGACATCTGTAATGGACAAACATCCCATGAACATCTGAGAAAAAGTTATTACAAACCCCAACACTCCATGAGCGCTACGCAGCTGTCTCACCAGCCTGAAATTATGACAAATGACTACACAAAGCTATTGAAAACGAGGTTCTGAAGTAAAGCTGGAGATTACAAATATGAAGAAAATGCACATACGAAACACCTCTCAGATACTACGCTTTACCTACGAGTATAATACATTTTTAAATCACCGTTTAGTGAATGCAGTACGGAGCAGCAGCAGAAATCACACGGGGCTTCTCACCTAATTAGTCACTTTTACTGCAAGTGTCAACAGGATACAGTGGATAAGTGTGAGATTGAGAGTTTAATTTACAGTGATAAGTAACGTCCACAAGGAAAGCATTGGTTCTCTTAAGCTCACTTGGTAGAATCCTTGTAAGTTTGCTCACAAAGAAATGAACAGCCTCTAATTTTCATGATCTTTTCCTTTAAATGGAGAGAAAATATCTAAGAAAGAAATCTAGAAAAACACGTTACGTAAAAGTTAAACTGATTTGCATGTCACTGAATGAACTAGATCACCTTTAAGCCATCTGATTTGTGTATAAAACACACCTGTCCACAGAATCAGTGCACCACCATGGGCAAGACCAAAGAACTGTGAAAGGATATCAGGGACAACATTGCATCGTCTGGGCTAAAAGACCATCAGCGATAAGCTTTGACGAGAAGGTGACAACTGCATGAAGAAATATAAAATTACCATCAATTGCCCTCAGTCTGAGCTCCATGCCAGATCTTGCCTCATGGAGTGAGGATGATCATCTGAACGATTCAGAGGAGGCTTGGGAGAAAAGTGTGGATCGGACGAAACCAATATCAAACTCCCTGGCATCAACATGACTTGGGGACTTGAGCGGCCAATGAATGGGACTGTGTGCTGCAAGGGTTGTGGATGAGCCTTTCAGCATGACAGTGAGGCTGATGAAGAAGCACATTAACGTCATGGAGTGACCTCAGTCCTGTAGAAAAGCTGCACAGGGAGCTGAAGGGCTAAAGGATTTAGAGACCTTCTGTACAGAGCAGAGAGCCTAAATCCCATCTGAGATGTACGGAAACCTGGTGACCAACTACACGGCTGGGCTTGCAAACATGCTTTCTGTACAGAGTTATTTTTTGCTTGAGGATAGATATTTCAATCAACGACATGCATCTCTTTCAAGTCGTCTTTTAAATCTTTTATAAAACTCACTGGGTTTCCAGGATCTACAGTTGATATTTTGTCTCTCCCCATTAAGATGAAACTGCTACATAAATTAGAGACTGTTCATCACTTTGTAAGTGAGCAAATGTACAAATCCAGCAGGGGATCAAATGATTTCCCCCACTGAAAATATTTAAGCAAAGTTGATTTAACTAAATTTCTGCTCTACAAACAGACTGACGATGGTTCTTTCACCACACCTGCATGTCATATTATTGTGAGTAGACTTTAATCATGCTGT